TGTGCAGATATCTTCAATCAGAGCCTGTGTCTCATTCGTCTGCGGCTATGGGTCCTTTCAACAACTTGATTCAGGCGACATCCATAGACCTGCTGCAAGCATTAGTAGCAAGGGGGGAATTTGACACGGTGTCAATCCAAACCGTCGAAGCTGCTGTTGTCGGCAAGTTATACTCGACTGTCCATCTGGTTCGCCTGGACCTCCAGAACAAGCTTCTGCACCTCCTTCATTCAATCATATCTGCATCTGATATGGGCAATCCGTACTACTCAGGTAATCTCAAGGAAGGACTAAGCGATCCTCAAGGTACAAAGGATGTGCAATCTGAGCTTTCGGCGCCCACATATATTATCAACCAGCTGCTGATACAGACCTTACTCGATGGCATTAGCATACCCACTAATCGACCTGTCTTACAGCATTGGCTGGACTTCATTCTCACTACGATGCCACAATTCGAGCGCCCTTTCAAACCTGCAATATCACCCCTGAACGATTGCGTCTGTCGGCAACTACGTTTGGTTTTAGCAGACCTTCTTCGGATATCAGCCTCGGAAAGTTCAGAAGACCTTGCTTCTTCAGTATCAGACTCGGAAGTTCTTATGCTCTTTAACGTACTAGAGCGGCTAGTACTCCTTAGTCTGGATCGCGCTGTAGGTATGATTCAGTCGGAGGAGGACGTGCCGGAGAAGTCAGGCCAAGAACCTGGCGGTCTTCTTGGTTACATGTCGAACGTTTTCAGCTCCGATAGTATTGCCAGTTTACCCGAAGGCCAGCTGACGGTCAGTACTCCATGTTAAGTATACGTCCGCAACTGACCATCCTCTCTGCGGCTTATCGTAGGCTCGGTCGACAGGATATCGTTGTCTCCACGAAGCTGTCCTGGTATTATACTCATTCTGGACCTCTATGGTCTGGATCGCGCCACAATCTTGGACTTCTCAAGACCATACTTTCTTCTTGATTTTCACTCGCTCTCGGACGAGGTGCAAAAGAGTGTTGGAACATCTCTTCCGTGCTCAAGCACCCGAGGTCCTTGAGTCAATTATTGACTGCTGGAGTAAGCATTCTGCCGTAAGTATGCTGTTTCCTCCTATCGCCTTCGACGTTCATTTTTTCCAGGACAACTCTCCTCAGTCTCAACGAGCCTTCGAATTGATGGATGTGCTCACGGCTAGTGCTCAAAATGTCGTGCACATGGTGTGCGAAAGTATATCATCGCGCTTGTCTACTGCGGGTCCAGACAGATCTAGAAAGCAGGCTCTGAACCCGAATATGTCAGTGTCGATGTCCTGCAGCTTTCGTCCTTTCGTTGAAATCGTGTGTATAGCTCCGACGCAACTCTATTCCAGTTTCTGGAAGGATATCTCCTTCAGTTGGAAAGCCCGTTAGCTCTTCAAGTTTGGAGTCGGGTGCTACAGATGGCAAAGGAGATCATAAATAACATTCGCGACATGAAGCCTCAGGTTTATCCCATGCTTAGGTACAGCACCTTCATCTAAATGAAGTAGTGTAGTACAATTTTTATCACGTTTTCATATAGATGCATAGTTGTACTAGGGGACAAGTTATCGTTCACGGTCGCCACTGAGGACCGGCGTATACGCAAGGATATACAGGTGCGCAAATTTGCCCTTGAACTTCACAGAAGGTCATTCAAACCATAACTTCGAAGGAAACATGCTCCAAGTTGTTAGATGCTTGTCTAACTATCGCTGGTCGTGCTGATCAGGGAACGTGGATACGCCGCACAGCCAGGGAATCTTTGGCACCCAATGGTAGAGATTCCCCCATTCCTCGAGGTGAGATTTTAGGTTGCGCGCTGAACCAGCTGTGTCTCACCGCGTGTAATAAACAAGCTGCTTCAGACACGAAGTTGGACGAGAAATACAGCTCTGGTGCTCTTCAAGACAGCAGTGACATCGTGGATCAGGCCCGTATACCCAGGTTACAATGCGACGTCCAACTGATCCAGAGATTAGATCAACGGATTCCTTGCGACGTCCATCATACCTAATTTGCGAAAGCTCTTGTTTGACAATGACAAGATATCTGCCGCATGTAGCAATATTGTGTATTATATCGTCGGACCTGCACTCAAGGGGAAACAAAGGTACTGTTTCTGTGATCTATGTTGCACATTGAATTTATATTTGTGTAGGCCACTGGACGTCGAACCTATCATTCTGGATATAACCAGAGAGATGACTAGAATACATTCTGCCCTGAAGGCATGGCGAGGGCCCGTGGTCGATATCCTAAGTGACAACAGATTCTTCAATTCTACGTCCGAGGCAGGTTTACGATGGAAGCCTGTCGTTAAGGCTCTCTTTGACGCCGACCGCACGGCATTTGCTGAACTGCTCAGTGTGTCATTTCCATCTCGAGTGTGCGTCCACAACTCATGTTGAATCACAGGCAAGGTGGCTACCGCTCCATCGACAACACTATTCACTAACCGAGAATATGAGAACCTTCTGAGGTCTCTCAATCTTCGTCGACTATCATACATTTTGTATACGGCAGAGAAGAACCACTTCTTGACTGCTCTGCCCACAATACAGGAGAAGCTAGTAGACGTCTTGCGGAATTCGCCTGCACCCGTCATTCAGTGTGAGGTTTACCTATGCATGCGCGTGCTTCTGTGTCGTCTGTCGCCACATAATCTAACGAGTTTCTGGCCTGTTGTCCTCACGGAATTGGTGTGTAACCAAATTAGTTCAGTGCTTAGCAGTCTCTCACGGCTTCTTAGTACCGGCTCTTCGATCAAGCCATCGTTTCTCTTCCCTCGGACAGCTCGGAAGACTTGTCATTAATTCTATCAGCGAGCAAATTCCTCGATTTATTACTTACACTGCAGACAGAGGAATTTCAGATGTGAGCTTTTACCTCGTCGCCTTCGGGAATGTGTTCTGACATTGTGGCAGCCACCAATGGATATTCATTACTGATACTGTCGACGCGGTGTTCCGGCCTGATGACTGGACTCCCGAGGCCCTAGTTGACTTATTGGGTGAAGTCGCCGGTGACCTTCCCGTAGTCGAGGTAGGTTCTGGCCCATTGACTAGTGTACAGGTACTGATCACCTCCGCAGACGAACGGATCACAGAGAATGACTACCCAGCCCGTTAGCACACCTCTGTCCGAGCGCCGGCCAATGCGACGGCCCATGCTGAACTCAATACGACAGATCGACAGCATTCGAGATTTAGTCCCCTTCTTCTCGCATGTTAGTATAGCTTCGTACGAGAGTATGTACGCTAGCAACGGCAATGTCGACTGGGACGCAGTGGAGCAGGGCCTTGTAGACGACATGTTCGACGTGCGGTAGCGACGGACACTTTAACGTTTATCTATGACATATGTTTCATATGCGCGCATATAATGGAAATACACCTGTCCGCATTGCAATTCAGTACGGCAGCGTTGAGTGAATAATCAGTCCCTTCCATAGAGATTAGGTTTGATACAACGGCCCCACACATGAATGATATAAGGAAAGCGAGAAACGATACAATAAATACTCGACGCTCGGATGCTCAGAAATCACCCCAGCTACGACGGAATTTGTACTGCATACGATTCTGCGTCTCAGCGTTCTCATATGGATGCATCGGGAAAAGGATTCAGACTGTACCTTGTAAGGTAGGTTCTTTCTCATCCTCTCTGAAGGCGACTTGGGCGTCTTGTACCCGCCCTCCCCGGCGCCCCACTCCTCCTGTCTCTCCTTGTCCACGTCCTTATACCGGATCTCGGGCGCCTGCTTCTCTGGTGGGGTCACCCTCGTAGCCTTCGGTTTGCCAATAACGGCAGACGACGGCATTTCCTGCGGCAGACCTTCATCCTTGGGGAACCGATCATTGTGCGGATTCTGTGCCAGAGGCTCTTGAGCAGCGTCGGCGGGTGGGGGCGGGGCAGGAGAGCGGTTCTCGGGATTCTCAGGGTCGTGCTGTGCCAAAGCTTCTTCGACAGTAATACCTTGGAACTTGGCCTCGCGCTCGGCCTCTTCGCGTTCGATTTTCTCATGTTGCCCGAAGTGTTCGATATCTTCAGGGTGGGTGTATGATTCGTCGGTTTGCGTCTCGGGAGTGGAGTGATACATCTCTAAAGGAAGGGTGAGCGAGAAGTCGTATGATAGGGAAGGGGGTGAGGGTCAGATACCTTCGTGGTGAAGGAAGAACTCTGCAAGAGGAGTTAAATAACAGGAGGGAAAAATTTGGGGGCAAAAGTGCACGCACCGCTTTCAACATCGTAGTGATGACCCTCGGCGCCGAGACTCTCAAAATTTGGAAGCCCCTCCAAGCCTACTGCCTCGAACTCCTGCGGCGAGACCTTGCCATCCTTGTCCTTGTCAAGCAAATTTAGGACCGTGTTTGCGATGGTGTCCGCCTTCTTCTGGTGCTCGACATCATCCTGAGTGTTACCGGTCAGTCACGGCTAGCGACAGGCTGGTGCTAGAAACCTTTGACATCTTCTTTGAGTATACATGGTGAACACCGTAGATGGCCTCAATCTCATCTCTGTCCCACACCCCGTCCCTTCGCCAGATCGTCAGACAGCTGAAGACGGACGCTCAGACTGGGTAACTCACCGGTTCAGATCATGCAGCTGGAAGAAACTCCTCAAGTCGAACGAGTCACTGTGTATCGTCCAAATTAGCACCCCGTACATCCCATGAGGTGTTGCCCCTCGCAACGTACATATGGTGCTCCGTAGCCATCTGCACCAAATCCTCGTTAGAACTTGTCCGCGACAAAATACATACTACTTACGTGTCTCTGAGCATACTGTTGGATCGTCTCACCTGCAGCAGGCTCTTCATGACCAGCATGGCCCCGCACAGCCTGAAGAGAGAAAAGTAAGGACAGAGCGGTGAGTGTCTTCATAGTCGACGACCGCTAAGCGGAAGAGGGCTGAATACCATCCACCGCGCGGATCTGTCGATCATTACAGGGTAATACGTACATACATATATATGTACAAACATCTCCCCGAGTTATCCTTCGATAGCTCAGTTGGAAGAGCGCAAGACTGTAATGGATGACTTCATCTGAGTAATCTTGATGTCGCTGGTTCGATCCCGGCTCGAAGGATTGTTTTGCTCCCGGAGTTCCACTCTTTCAGGACGTGCATTATGTTGATCAAAATGTATTCCTACATGCTGGGGAAGGCGTACTCACGGAAAGTAGCAAATGGCACCCTGACCTCATTAGAGAATAGTATAACAACAATGACTACAAAGATTCATTAGGTATCACTAATCCACACGGGGAATCGGACTCGGACCGGCGAGACAGATATAACATGCTGCTCCAGCAGTAGAATGCACAAACCACGAGAGACACGATCAACTCAGCCCTTCAGCAAGTTCACCCGAATCTTATCAGATGCCGCCACCGGCGGAACTTGTTCTGGGCCTTGCCCTACGCATCCTCATATCGTCATGTCGATGAACAGCTCGAGGTTTGACGGAATGACGCGAAGCAAGAACAGCGTCCAGCGAGATGGGCGGCAGGACCACAGTGCGTTTTGCAGAAGAACGAGTAGACATGAACAACGCCTGCATATAAACAGGTAGAGAAGGGAGCATCCTTGAGTCCTGAGAGAGATGGCCAGGTTGAGAGATGAAACCAGTGGAGTCACGGGCAGAGTGGGTGTCAGAAACTCCTGGCACATTTATAAGTTCGTCCAACTGAAGAGCGTCGCGGTTTTCGACGACAGCACACGAGCCAGTAGAAGAGTCGGGCAGAGAATTTGGGTGAGCTGCAGAATGGCTTCTATTGCTAGGTGAAGTCAAGTGATGCACACGGGAGGCCATGAGACAATCGTAGTACGTGCGAGACCGTTCCTTCATGTAGGTGTCGTAAGTCCCAAGCGACTCTTGTATACCGCGCGCAGGGCCAATTGCCGCCGAGATGAAGTTGTACATGGTCATGCGCTCTTCCTGCCCGAGTGGCCTGTGATCCGAGGGGGAATAGTCGTTTAGGTACGCGGCTTGGTCAAGTCGGAATTCAGGCTCAGGCTGGAAGCAAAGACAGTCTAAGTGAGATTCCACTGAGAAGGCTGTGGTCTGGGTTTGATAGACGACTTCGCCGTTGTCGCAATAGATGGGACAAGAATCGCTGATACACAGCTCAGCGAAGTCCACACAGATATCTACTTCCTTGAAACCATACAGGCCTTCGCTCGGTCCGGAGACTGTCACAGAGCTCGCGTGCCCAAGAGTGGCAGAAATACCAGAGACAGATGGAGTCGCAGGTAAGGAAGGCGAGGAACCCGAGGTACTGCTCCAGGTGCTTGGGGTTGTGCACAAGGTGCTGGTTGAAGACAGTGACGACAAGCTAGGGAAGAGAGGAGAGCTACCAGAAAAAGTAGCAGGACGTATGCTTAGCTACAAAATGGGGATTAACCTTGCGAACCGAATATAAGAGCAAATGCACTACTTGTCTGTGCTGAGCCTGATAGTGCCAGTGTCTGTCAGCTCGACCAGAGGATGTTGCACTTCCCCTATCTTCCTTAGCTCTCAGGCCTTTGTTTCGGAACCAGTCGTAGATGAGACGTCGGTCAACGTTGTATCGCAATTGTAACTCTTTCCGGAGGGTATAAGGTGGCATTTCAGTAGTAACTCCTAGAATTATTAACGCCTCTAGCTCTTGCACCAGCTCCGGAGATAGACGATTTGGCGTTCCAGAGACAATTGATTTGTTTGTCCGCGTGGTTTCGTAAGGCCTGAAAGACGACGAATTGACTTCGTTTTTGATAGCAAAGGGTGTATGCTGGATCTGTCGATGTCTGTTTTCCAAATATTTCGCATGAAAGGTATCCGAGCCTGACGTATCAAGCGGTCGTTTGAGTGGCATTTTTCTGAAGGAGCGTTGCTGAACGAGTCACAGCAGAAGATGGATATAGCGAGTAAGTAGTTATAGAGAGATGGAAAACATGCAAGCTGCGTCGTGGCAACACTGTTACAGTCAACGACCCCGGTCACCATGCCAAAACTATCGATACAGTGGATACGATACAGGGCACAAATGCGCCTCTAGAAATACAGACTAGCAGCGAAAACAACTGGGATGACTTGAGTATGGGAGGGATACCGAGAACTCTAGCGTACTCACTGTCCCTTTTTATTTTCAACTGTGCTTCTTCCATCTTCTTCATCAAGTCCGCGTCACCTATAACTCTGGCTGCATCTCGTACCTCGCGGCATGTCTCATCCAACCGGGTGATAACGCGAACAATTGTGCCTTCAGCAACGTCTGTCAAACGCGTGATCTGGTCAAACGGCATTCCCTTGGCCCATTCGTACACCACTTCCACAAGGCCAAACTTCAGAGTACGAAATTCTTCTCCGGGAACTTGATGAGATTCTTGAACCTGACTTACTCGGTCGTTGATTGCAATGATCGCATCCCGACCTTCCTCGAGCTTTGGGGGGATATTGGGCTCGACGTCGGTCTTCTCTTGAAACACAAAGCATGACAACAACGCGACGACTTCTTCAGGATCATAGGCCGCGAGCATGTTTTCCAAGATAAGCTCCGTGAGGACAAGTTCATTGGCGGAGTTGATCTAGGCGTTGTGAATATCAGCCCAGTGAAAGATGTACGAGCGAATGTACCTCGCAAGCAACACGGCCTTTCAAAAGGACTGTGGAGTTCTCGTCTATGAACTTCAGGGCTTGGAGTACAGCGACCCGCTGTTCATAGTCGGGAATAAGCTCGAGATTTTGATCGGAAATGGCCATCTTCAGGTTCGCTATCCTAGCACGTAAGACCTTTTCTGCATGAACAATGGAATACTAGTGAAGTCCACGTCAACCAGAGGGCGAGACACGGGCGCCAATGGGACACCTACATGCTGTTCTAAGTCCGGGCAGGATGTGCAGGACTTGTTTGCCAATCGCTTCGCTATGTCATCTCGTGCTTGCAAGACATCCTGCAGCTCGATCGACCGTTGCTTCTGCTTCCCCCAGCCAGCCTCCTGTATCTGACCAGCCTTACACCATTCCTCAACCAAAGTAGCTAGTGCCTGCATTGTTTCTTGCAATGTGGAGACCCAACGCCGTCCAAGGATAGCCGTCACGTCGATCTATATGCGACATATCTGCATTGAGATTACAACTGTCTATGATGATTTCTCGTACCGTACCTTAATATTCTGATTTGTGATCATGGCGATGCTCTTCATAGGCACCCTGAGAACTTCATAATTTGGCTCAACAACTCGCAGTAACTCGGGGATTATGGGCCAGCGAGGCGGCAGAGCATCATAGTCGACGTCTAATCAGACTCAGCATTTGCCGATACGGAACTCACAAGACCCACTTACCGTTCTTCCTACTCCTTGTTTCCGGATCGACCAGCGCCAGCACATAGTACCATTTTGATCCATCTGCCGGTCCTTTCGTTGCTTTGAGTGTAACGGCGGCATTGGACTTGAAGTGCTACAATAATTACTGAGCGATTTGTCTGGACATTCAATGAAGTGAGACAGGTTCTTACTCCATCTCTGAGGATGACTACCCTTCCTGGGTCCAGATACTTCTGTCCGATAGCCACCAACTGCCGGGTTAGAGCAACGACGTCGTGCGAAGCATCGTAGTATGCCTCGATGTCCGGCGCACAATGAGGACATTCGAGTTTGGGGAACGATGCCAGCTTTTTCTCACTCTTCATCGACAGGCATGAGTAACAGAGCAATGGCATTATTCGATACGCTACTGACCTCTAGGACCTTCTTCTGGTGGTCCGGTAGAAGCTTCTGTGAAGCATTTTCAGAGAAACTGCGCTTGATCATTTCTTCGACCCTGAGCGCTTCGACACGTAGTAAGTTAAGAATCATATTATACGTCAATCTGAACTGGGATTGCAGTCTTAATGGATCTCCGAGTATCATGTTCATGAGCGTAGTTTGCTATTCCCTCGCTGTATCAGTAGAGAATCAGACGCAGAGATGGACCTACTTACCTCCGGTATGTTGTCATTTGCCAGAATGACCACAGTACCTGTAGGATCGAGACCGCGACGACCTGCACGACCTGCCATCTGCGTATATTCGCCAGGTAGTATGTCCCTAAAGCTTCGTCCATCGTGCTTGCGGATTCCTGAAAAGACGACGCATTTCGCTGGCATGTTCACTCCCTGCATAGCCGGTCAATCGTTGCAGATAGTGAGCGAAGTAATCGCTTACCATGGCGAAAGTCTCTGTAGCAAAGAGGACCTTCACAAGCCCTCGGGCAAACAATATCTCGACGACCTCTTTGACTATGGGTAGTAGACCGCCGTGGTGTACGCCAATCCCACGGGAAAGGAGATCTCTCATACGCATGATCTGAGGCAACTTCTTATCTGACCCTATGATGGTGTAAACCGACACAACACTAGACATACATCAATTGTCCTTACCTTCTAATCGCGACAACGCCTTCTCAATCGTGACATGCACCTCGCTTTTATCCAAAGCAGTACAAAGGTCCAAGTTGACAAGTGTCGCCGCATTTTCCTCGCATCTCTTCTTCGAGAATGTGAAGATAACAACAGGCAACAGCGTCTTCTTCTTGAGGTGACCAAGGAGGTGAACATAAAGGCTCTTGTCCGCGCCTTGATGGACTGTCCTCTGAGGGCCTGCTCCCCTGCCACCTCCACGTTGTGGCGCACCACGAGCAGGTGGTCCACCACGCTGGCCCCCACGTTGTCCCCGCTGAGCCGAGGCGGCGCCGCGAGCGCCCACGCGATGGACCGGCGGTAGACCGGCGGCTTCGCGTTCTTTGTCTTGCTTCCGTCTCAATGCTTCGCCAGCATCCTTGTACCCTGGCCCAATAAAGTTCCGTTTCGCGTCAACAATCTTGTACAACTCTCGCCCCGCGTAAAGAAAATGCTCTAGCGGGACTGGACGTTGGGCTGTGAAAATAACGTAGATGTCCTTCTTCTTCGTTCGGCTAGTCAAGTTAGCAAAGGAATGGACAGTGAAAATAATGTAAAGGACATACCCAACCCAGTCGGCGAATTCCTTTGCATTAGGGACCGTTGCAGATAGAAGAATGATATTAACATGCTCAGGAAGCATGATGATGACCTCTTCCCAGACAACG